CACCGCCAGCCGCAGCTGAGAATACCAGCTGAGCGCCCTCAGCCGCCCTGTCCCGCCCTCGCTGTGACAGCCTAGAGTGCCGGCAGCTATAAAACGCTGCCAGCCTCCACTTTTCCATCTATCTTTGACAAGAGACAGTAGCACGGACGATAGGAGGACTCTTGAGCTTATACGCATTGATTAGAGCGCGGCTTGGCTCCTTTTTCTTTTCATGTTCCCCTACTATAATTTTTAAGGGAATTATAGAGATTACTGGGTGGGCATGAGCACTTGGGCTGGAATGAGACTATACCATCAATCAGCAGTCCTTGGACTATTGGACTGCACTTTATCCATGCTCCAATTATTGTGCCCTATCAATGGCCGGAAATGGTACCACTTCATTGGAGGCCGGGAATGAAACGGGAGCGGCTATCGGAGTCTTGCTGGGGAAAGGGAGGTATGGCTGGAGCAGAGGGAATCAATGTTACAAAAGAAGACGGGATCGCTGTTTGAAAGCTATCCCGTCTTCAGTTCCCTCTGTTGCTCCAAATGGCTTGGAGAGCAGACCAACCATACCACAGAACCTCACTCTGCTCCTCTGCAATGCCAGGTCGGTGAAAAACAAAACAGATATCATCCAGGACCTTCTCCTGGACGAGGATGCTGACCTGGCTTGCTTCACGGAGACTTGGCTGGGGGAAGACAGCGCTGCTACTTGGGCGCAGATCCTCCCTGCCGGGTACTCTGTTACTGAGCAGGTGAGGGGAAGTGGGCGGGGGGCGGCGGAGTGGCACTAGTTCATAAGAACACGCTAATCTTGACCAGGATACCTGTCCGGAACGTGACTTTCTTTGAGTGTATGTACCTCAGCCTGAAGACCAGGGATAGTTTAGGGATTCTGCTAGTCTACCGACCACCCCGTTGTCTAGCAGACTCCCTGACTGAGCTGACACAGGTGGTCTCCGAGCTGCTGTTGGAGACCCCAAGACTGTTAGTTCTGGGGGACTTCAACATCCCTCTCAAGACCAGTTTAACAGGTGCGGCTCAGGAGTTCATGGAGACCATGACAAACATGGGCCTATCCCAATTGGTCAACGGGCCCACACATTGTGCAGGTCATACACTCAATGTGGTCTTCAGTGCGGAACAGGAATATCCGTGGGCGGAGGTTGTAAGTACCTCCGCATTGTCATGGACGGATCATTTCCTGGTCAGGACGGAACTTAGAGCCAATATCTGTCCCGCCGGGGGTGGTGGACATATTAGAATGGTCCACCCTCGAAGGCTAATGAAGCCCATTGGATTCCGGAAAGCCTTGGAGGGTTCATTGGTTGGAAATGCCGGTGATCCTGTCGATGCTCTGGTTAATACATGGAACATCGATCTTACCAGGGCTATCGACATGATCACTCCCAAGCGTCCTTGCCAACCTGCTTCGAACCATAGGCCATGTTTTACACCTGAGCTTAGGAGATTGAAGCGAGCTGGACAACGACTAGAGCGCAGGTGGCAGAAGACTCGACTCTTGTCTGACAAGACTCGCCATAGGAATTTTCTTAGTTCCTATCGGGAGGCAATACGTGCAACAAGAAGAGCTTTCTCTGCTGCACATATTGCATCTGCAGAGTCCTGTCCAGCAGAGCTGTTTAGGGTGGTAAGGGAGATGACGCAGGTACCCCCTGCGCCAAATCCCTTGCTTAACCCAACAACAGCCTGCTGTGACGCACTTAACAACTTCTTTGCAAATAAAATCTCTCAGATAAGAGCCGATTTAGACGCCACCATTGTACCAGAGTCGTCAGCTGAAGTGTCCAGTGACTCCGCCAATGTGGTGTGAGGAAGACAACTTGCCCTCTCAACCCTTGCCCATCATGGCTGGCCGTCCAGGGGGGGAATGCATTGATGAGATTCCTCATGGATATCATTAATGCATCCCTTAGGGAAGGACATGTTCCACCTTGTTTAAAGGAAGCGGCTGTTAGGCCGCTTCTGAAAAAACCTTCCCTGGACCCTCTGGACATGAAAAACTATAGGCCTGTGTCCCTGTTGCCATTCTTGAGCAAGGTGATCGAGAGGGCGGGCTTTGGGGTTGAGACTGCCATGGTTGCCTTGACCGATGATCTGCGT